GCGGTGGAGGCCGGCGCCATGTCAGCGTGGGAGCCGACCATCACACCTGGGGGGGAATTCTGGGTCAGGGGACGGTGGTGCCCCTCCATCCGGAGTCCTCTCCACTCCAACCGGTGCTGCCCCCTCCGAGGCAGGGCACCTCCCACCCAGGGCCCCACCTCTGCGTCTGCCCCAGGAAGCAAGACTTCCGGTGCTCAACTTCCGGCAGATTGGGCCCAGGGGGTCCCCAGCCTTAGGTCAGCCATCTCCGGAGGCTGGGCCTGGCCTGCAGGGCTGTGCTCAGTGTCCTTAAAGGCCAGGGTCTCCCCAGCACCCTGGCTTCAGACCCTTGGTCCTTCTCCCTGAAAGGACTCCTTTCCCGCCCCTCCCCTCCCCAAACACTGCAGGGCCCTCAAACCTTTGTTGCAGCTGCAGCCCCTGCGAGCTCCCCCCTCTCCACCACCGCCCACCCGCTCAGCACACGCCCTGGTGGTGCCCGGCCACAAATTCCCTCAACCCCAGGAGCTCTCCCATCCACTGCCCTGCAGGCTCTGTGCCTCCGCCCCCACCCGAGGCCTCCCTGCCCCTTTCCCAGCATAAGGGCTGCGGGCTCCCTTGCAATCCTGCCCTTGGACTGCTGGGCTCCTCCCCACCCGCCGGGACTGCTAGTCTGCATCCCTCAGGTCCATCAGCCCCCGGCTGACACCTGCACGTTTCTCTCCCCCTCAAACCTCTCTGTTCCCCTCCTGCTCTCACCAGGAGACCCCGCCATGGGCCTCAGCATTGGGAAAAGGAAAGCAATCGGGAGAGACGTTCCCACGCTCCAAGCACGGCACCCAGGGTTCTCCATGGGGCGACTGAGACCCCCCTCCACGGGCCCTGGCCCAGGGGACATGGCAATGCCTGGAGACGGGTCTGGTTGGGAGGGTGTGGACGGGAGGGACAGGCGCTCCCGGCAGCTAGAGGGGGGAGGCCAGGGATGCTGCAGTGCACCCCACAGCGCCCAGGCCAGGGACCCACGGCCCCATGGCAGAGTGATGGGGTCCAGTGCCAGAGGGGCTGAGGCTGGGAAACCCACACTATCTGCTCCCCGCACTTGCCTCTGGGCCCAGCGACCCTGAATCCCCACCTACAGCAACGTTCCTCATGGCCGGGCCCTCCCATCAGTGTCACCACAGCTGTCCCTCATCTTTTTCAAAAATAGATATTTGTTCTGATTTCAGAGAGGAAGGAGAGGGAGAGAGGGATAGAAACATCAATGATGGGAGAGAATTATCGATCGGCTGCCTCCTGCATGCCCCCCTCCCCCCAACTAGAGATCAAGTCTGAAACCCAGGCATGTGCCCTGACCTGGAATCCAACTGTGACCTCCTGGTTCACAGGTGGATGCTCAAGCACTGAGCCGCACTGAGCCACACCGGCCGGGCTGTCTCTCATCTTTTAAAACCTTCACCCCTTGCCCAGCTTGTGTGGCTCAACGGTTGAGCGTCGACCTATGAACCAGGAGGTCACAGTTCGATTCCGGGTCGGGGCACATACCCGGGGTTGCAGGCTCAA